TATTGGCAGAAATGGAAAATAATATTCATAGGTATGTTTTCATTTGTGTGTAATGACCTGATTACAGGAATCATTACATTGCTTGAGAATGAGCTCATTATATCTACAGGCGTCCATCATGGAGTCCACAATGCTTCTACAGTAGCCCAGAAAAGACAAACCAAATACTGGCTCTAGATAGGGGAGGTTTTTTCACGCATTTCACAACCACAGTAGTTTATCCTTCGCGCTTGGAAGGGGAGAGTGAAATGAGGGAGTTGCAATCTGCAATTATACCACTAGATGCGACTCAATCCTACACACTGGACCTTTAATATTTGATTTAATTATTCAAAACTATAATTTGTCTCATTGTATTTTCAGAAATCTGACGCTATGCTGTATGCTCCATCAGGTGATGACATTAAAGTAAGTACACGTTAAAATGTTAGTTTTGAATTACTTACTGTTACATTTATAGAACACAGCAAAAAATGTCACCATTCAAACAGCACCTTTGTATGTATAGAAGACTGCACTAATGTTTACATTTCAACTGCACTATACTTGCACAACTCTGCATTATATTATTTTCCATCTTGATTTGTTAACATAAGTTAACAAATGAGTTAAGTTGCTGCATTTAAGCTGTTAAAGGTCCAGTTTGTAGTATTTAGTGGCATCTGGTACAGTTTCAGATTGCAACTCGCTCGCTTCACCCATCCCTTCCCAGCGTGAAGGAGAAACTACAGTGAATGTGAATCATGCCCTTTTGGGCTACAGTAGCATGGCAAACTCCATGGAAGGCATCTCAACAAATGAAAACATACCTATGAATATTATATTCCTATTCTCCTAAAATATCCTCCTAAATGTTACACACTGGACCTTTAATACCTACGTAATGAACACCATGACAGCTACAAAACAATGTAATAAATCTGTAAATGTATGTGTCCATACTGAAGAACTTCTCTCTCTCTCTCTTAGAAGAGCTGTAAAATCATGTCGCTCAGATGTTACATATTGGAGTTGATAATGGTCGCTGGTGAAGAAGAAATTATGAATAATTATACAGAATGCATCATGGATTTCAATGACACACTGCGTACAGATGAATCTGTAAGTCCTGTTTATATGGTTTTATGGTTGTAAATATCCTCATAAATCAATGCTGATAAAAAAAATTTTTTACTACCAGTGCAACCTACTACAGTACACAAATCTAGTGTCATAATAGCTTTTTATTTCTTTACTATTTGTATGTATTGTATTTTATTGATGTTTAAATATGTGTTACTGTGTCTCTTTTGAATCTTAGGTTGTCTGTCCACCATGTGAAGCATACTCACTTGAAAATATTACAATATTCCTGGAAAGACTAAGTACACTTTTGGAAAACATGGCTACATTGGCAAACACGTAATATGGTGTAAATATTATAAGCTAAGAATGTGTATTTGTATATATTTGTAAAGAATTATGGCTCTTGTGATTTTTAGTTTTTAAATATTACATTGTAACTGTGTAAACCTGTGACAAACCATGCCATCCTGTATTTTATAATATAGACATACCACACTAAATTTGATGTATAATATAACAGTTTAAATGTATAGGATGAAAGTACATCTTATTGTCTGTACAGAATAAGTCTCTCCGTCACTATGTATCACAATCTGCCTTTCCGTTGTACAGTTTTTAAAAAAGTATAAGGAAGTACCGTAAAGAGGCATCATGTACTGTATATACAGAATTTATATTATTAACCTCACTGCTAAACACTATTGAATGTAATACCTATTATACAGTATCCAGTATGTTGAGAATACTGTAGTTGCTCACTCCAGTAAATCATATCCCAACTGTATAGTCTTTCATTTTATTTCTCTTATCTTTAAGTTTACCGTACCATTTTACAACTGTAAAGTTATCACAGTGGCAATAATGTTTGTAATGTTTGTTAGCAGTCTTCTTTCACTGCCTTTATTGGCACATTTCTGTTACCGCTCTTAAAAATATTGCTCCACAGCGCTACTAGAGGTCAAAAACTCCATAGGTTACCTTTAAGTAAGTGAAAAAAAGAAAAGAACATTATGATCTTCCTGTGCTCTTTATTGATGTGGAATTTGACAATGGAGAGCTGAAATAGAAGAATGACAAAACCCATTTATAAATTACCTTAAAGGAAGTCCATGAGGAGTAGCAGGTAAGTTATAAGGAATAAGCCAGAAATGATGGTAGCCTGCTGTTACGAGCTGCTCATACAAATGTATTCTCAGATAATCTATTTTTGTGGAGACCGTGCCTTACAAAGAGTATGTTGATTTCCTGCAACAGGTGTTAATAATGATGGCTCTGTGTCATGTCAGTGTTTATATTTCTGTTAATGTGCATCGACCAGGTTGGAAGCATTCTCCTGTATTGCAACAGTGATGTAGATGACTCATGGGAAAATGGTGATAATGATCGAGGTGTGGATTCGTCTTTGACTTAGGGGAAGACTTTTCAACAGCCTCTGTCACATCAGATTAATGTGGCAACAAGTTGCTATAATGAGGACAATAAGGGTGATGAAAATCTTTTTCTATATTCTAAATGTGTTTTTCATGGGTGTTGTGTGTTGTAACTAGATACAGACAGAGCTTGGTCAATGAGTTGTGTTTGCCTGGTGAGCAAACAGTCAGTATAGTACTATTACCACCTCATAAGTGGTTTCTTTAATCATTCACTGGTTGGGGGGGATTATTTAAACATACCGAGAAAACAAATCAATGACAAATAATTGAGACTTCTAGAGTGGTTTGAAAAGTTTTTTTATTTTTTATGTTTTGATGCATTTTAAAGGTCCAGTGTGTAACATTGGCAGAAATGGAATATAATATTCATAGGTATGTTTTTGTTAATATATAATCACCTGAAAATAAGAACTGTTTAAGTTCCCTCTTACACCAAGGCTGCCATGTTGAAACACCATGTTTCTACAGTAGCCTAGAACGGACAAAACAAACAATGGCTCTAGATTTTTGAATGTCACGGCCACCGTAGTTCCTCCTACACCCTTGGAAGGCTGAGCTGTATTCGAATAGTTGCAGTCTGCAACTTCACTGCTAGATGCCACTAAATCCTAAACACTAGTCCTTAAAACGCTTTTTTTTTTATTGCGGTGCCCGTTGGAATCCAACGTTCCTGCTGTGAATCGAAGGTGACTATAGATGCTGTTCACCATGAAGGAGCAAGTGACAACATTTTCAGGGCCTCCTTTTAAGACTACAGTCCGTAAGTAGTCTCTCTGAGTGCTTTACTTGGAAGTTGTTTTGACCTGAATATATTTAATGTTTTTAATACAACGCCTGTATTAAATTATGACTCATTTAACTGTAGTAGTTCGATTGTTCAATTAAATGCACAACTATGGAATTCAGTGTTAACAGTATGCAAAACATACATACATATAGCATTATACAATCACAAATATCCACATTAAACCATTATTTTATTTTATTTCAAATAGCCAGTTGTAAATGTCTAATCTATGACACAACAAATACATTTCAAACATGCATTTAAGTCCAAGGTATCAACCCTTAGAAAATAAAATGATCTTCGAATACAAAAATAAATAATGCAATTTCTTATATACCATTCAGAAATGATGGTCCAATAGCCTCATCTTGTTCTATAACCCACCTATACTTCATGTGGTTACACTGGCTTGTACCTTGGGATATAAAAATGGAAAAAAGCTGAGGTGCAACCATTACGAGAATGGGATGAGTTATCAAAATAAGCCTTAAAATACTGGTATGTAACTTACATCCATGAGGACAGTTCAGTCAAAATTAATGAAACTACACATCTGCAACAGTCAAAAACAGTATAAGGAAAATTTGGACCAGGATATGTGATACCATAATAATGTACAGATCAAATGCTCATGAACTGCAGAAAATGATGAACTCCTACAAGCAGGAGGGAACTTTTGAGTGTGAATCTTCATCCTGTACAGCTCTGTATATCCAAACATGTAATGAGACTATAAACTGTTTGTTTCCAAAGCATTGGGAAGACCACAAAAAACACTGTGGCACGGACGTTCATCCAATGTATTTTCCCACTCTTCAGCTCTTCTTAGGCCATGAAAAAGGCAAATATAGAAAGTGCATTAACTTGACAAATAACACGTTTGGCAAATCCAGCTTGTATAAACACATACACTGCCTCCTTACGTAACAGTGTAACCTAAAACTAAACAAAGAATTGTCTTAAAAAGAAAGAAACATTTTACATCCTCACTATTTTGTCGAAGTTCTCATATTTACTACTTGGGTTACACACAATGACTGGTTTGACAGTACATTACTTGCGTCCTCAAGAGTCAACTTTGCCGTAAGTCCCCTCTGGTGGTCGGTAGCACTTGGGGAAGGCCATCAGCTGCAAGATGTTGAAGGCATATTTCCTGCATCTAATATTCTTTTGAACGTTCTCAATCCGACATCCTTCTCTGGTGATCAAATAAAGAGGGTGAAGAGGAATGAGGGAAGAAAAGAAAGGAAAACAAAAAAGGAAGCATGAATGAGTTTTTGAATTATGTCTGTAATGAAAAACCTTTAAAACCGGCTTCTCACCAAAAATACAAGTGAATTCTCTCTAAACAAAATGACTTGCCAAAATACTAATTTGTGTTCTTACTGAATAAAATAATGATGATGATTGTTTAATATGCTGAAAAAAACACATTTGAACAGCTAGGTTGATAACATGCTGAAATGCTGAAAAATAAAATTGCATTCAGTTTTATTTCAGTAAAAGTATGAAGGTGTTAGGATCAAAATAAACTTAAAGTACCAAAAAAGTATTCATTATGCAGAATATAATAATATATATTATATTATTGTATTATAATTATTGATGCGTTGATGTGTTTATCACTTTAATGTTGCAGCTGGTAAAGGTGGAGCTCATTTTAACTACTTTATATACAGCTGGGAAGCTCAGTCTATAATAATATATCATAATTTATTAGTTGATTTATATTTTGTATTAATCTAAATCTGCAAAGTAACTAGTAACTAAAGTTGTAAAATAAATAAAGTGGAGTAAAAACTATAATATTTTCCTCTGAGTTGTGGTAAGAGTCGAAGTATGAAATAACAGAAAATGGAAACAGTTAAGTAAAGTACCTCACAATTGTACTAAAGGGCATAGTTTTTGCGGGGTTGAATGTGCTGCACGGTGTATTATTCTATAGATCAGCTGTTTGGATTGGACTTACATTTATGCAAGAGAAAACCAAGACAAGAAAATAGAAATGAGTGATTATGACAGAGATGAGGAAATGCTGACCTTCAATGCTAATCACAAACTTTCAAAAATCTTTCAGCCAGGACCTGGCTCATTTATTCAGGTTTAAGTACCTTAAAGTGCCTTGATCCTTGTTTTATGACAGTTTTGTTTTGGGCTGATTTTAGTAATAAAGTGTTAATCAAAATGCAATCCAACACAAAACCTCCACCACAACTATGATCAAATGCCTTAGGCATGAATCAGCTCATCTGAGACTCAGTCCTAACAAATAATAAACATTACAAGTGTCACAGATTATGGTTTTTGCTGTAGGTCTGTACTGTCTTACACTGTGTTAAAGCATTAAAACAGCCTGTGAAAGAGCAAAGGGTAAAGTAGTTAGATGTAGGACCACCTGAATTCTGGGTTGCCGAGTTGGAACTGGCAATACAAACAGTAACAGGACTTGTTTGCTTGCAAGAGTTCCTTAAAATATTCATTCATTCCTGGTAAAAGTGGGACACTGTTTCTGAAAGTTACTGAAATATGTTTGTACAGCATAGTAGTGGTGGGGGTTTGGAAATAATAAATAGGTTTCTATGTGGGAGTGAAGGATTTACTTTCATCCTTACATTATTTACCTGGTTTTCTGGATCAGAACTACACAAGGTTCTTTGTATTTGACTTTTACTTTGCCTGTGCTGACACAAAAGACTGGGTTTAAAAACAAATCCAGACATGCAAGTTGTTGAAGTTGACTACTCACCACAATAATGTTGCAAAATGAGCTAAAAGCTAATCTTGGTTTTAACATTTTCACTGCATGATGTATCTTGCTAGTTATAATTAGCATGTTTAGCAGTTTTTAGTGTCCCCTGGAAACATTTGTTGTTGTGTACAATTTGCAGCATGCCTAATTTTTGTTTATTTCTGCTCATTCATTTAAGCATTCGTTTGTGTGTTTTTAAGTTGCAGCTTTCTCTGCCACCATAGGTATGTGGAAATCTGAAAAGAGCTACAATCACACTGATACACAGAGCACACCATAGTGAATAAGTTGTGACTTGTAACAGTTAATAGTTAGAGACAGAGAGACAGAAAAAAGAATAGCAAAAGAAGACAGGATGAGATTGTCCCCTGAAACAGCAAAGTTGGAAAGAAGGAAAAGCTCTGAATATACCTATTGTTTGGTGTAAATAAAATGAGCTCTGTCAGAACAGTGTTAAATACCAAAGTGGTTCATTCATTCTCAACTAATAATACAATTGCTGTTTTAGGCACACTGACAATATTAAAATGTGCATCTCAGCTGTATTTCAGAAAATGAGTTGTTGATAGATTTCCGTAAATCACATGAACCCTTCACTAATGGACCATATAGTGCCATATGCGTAATCCAGATCTGAACGTGTGTATTGTACATGTTTTACATGCCACTGCAAAAAGATCTTTAAAAAACAAATCAGTTTCACGTATAACTTCTGCTAGTTAACTCCACATTTTATGTACAGCATCGACTGTTTTATATGATGCTATGTTAAAGCATAAGGCTGGCAATATTCTATATAATTCTCAGCAAATCATATGAAAAGACCGAAAGGAACAATGAACTGATCCTAATAATAATAAGTATTTTTTGTGTATTTGAATTATAGCTTACTTTTCTGTGCCATAGAGCTCCACACTATTGCACTGGGTTACACGATATTTGATTATGATGAACTTGTAGATTGAGGTTGATAGTAAGCCACTCGCACTAATTAGTAGAGATAGCCAACGTTTTTTTTCTTCTTCTGTCCATCTTCTGTGCCGATTACATTAATACATTATTATTACTTATATATATACTTATTGGCTTTTTGTTCACTGAATTTTTGTTGTGCTTGTAGTGGCATGTTGAGTGTTGCTGTATTGGCTCTCTATTGCTTTGCTGTCTTTTCTCCAGCCCTGCTCTCTCACTGACATGCAGAACTCAAAACGGAGAGGCGGACAGCGGTGAAAGTTAACAATGGCTTTGCGAGTGAAGACAGCTGTGTGACAGCTGATATAGTACAAAAGATTGGATCAATGAAGCCCAATGTAGCCTGTACCGATAAGTAAAAAAATTCCTTGATCGCCGTGTTATACAAATAAGCCAATCACATAACACTACTGCCACTCTAAAAAGAAGAACCAGCAAACACAGAATAAAGAATTGAGCAGAAATGGCATTGTCAGCAATTTATTGATATTTTGCAAGCAGAAAAACAAGACTTAAAATGAGCCACACAACCAGTAAGTGGGAGCTAACAAGCAGCAGGGCAATGGGGTAAAAGTGCCGTGACGCTGGTTTGTTCTCTGTCAACGCGCCAGCCTCAGGGTCCTCCCACTGCCCAATGTCTCCCTGGGTCAGCCGACTGCAGGGGTGCCCATCAGAGTGAAACAGAATGAACAGAGATAGATCAATACACTGTGGTGTTAGTACAGCTAAGATGCTGTCAAAGAGGGACTTCTGGCACAGTTTGACCACTTGAGAGCCAAAACAGGCTGTTACCAGAAGGCCCACTCAGATACATTAGTACAGACTTTGCCTTAAAAAGCCACAGCCACAAACAACCACGGAGCAGAAATTTGAGAAACATGCTAATGGAAAGCTGAGATGGCAGAGGATAGAGGAGGAGGCATGCAACATGATGCAAAAACAAAAAGCTTAATGGAATGTGTTTTCATTACATCCGGCTTCATCTAGTGCAGCCTAGAGCAGAGGGCTCACTACAAAGTAGTGGTTTAACAGGTTTTTTGTTAAACATGTTTTTAAGTTTGATTTACTGTATTGATTTCGTTTAGGATAGCATTTCACTTTCATTCCACAACAGTTTGTAGGACCTTTAGTGTGTGTGTAAGACAAACAAGCACATGCCTGGAGGTTTTAGCTGAGCCACAGAAACAACATAGATGAAATACTTGATGGTTAGACTGACAAGGATAGACTGACTAAGAGACACTATGTACAACAAGGACTATGTACAACAACAACAACACAGATTACTGTGTTGTTGTTGTTGCATGTTGTTGCATGTCGAGACCAAAAATTATATAAATGACAAACTTCCTAATATCAACTTTATATCACATACTGTAAAACACAGCTGTAAAACTATATTGTAGTTGGTTCACAACCGGCCACAACTGGAAAAAACTAAATGGAGCTGCAGAGAGTCAACTGGTCCAGCCTGTCTTTTCACTGTCATTAAAGCCTTCCGCATTTCTATTCAAAACAAATAACAAACCTAATTTGTGAAATCAATTAATGGACAAATATGAAATACATATCCTCTGCTTCTTTTCACGACAACAGGCACAATTACCTTAAATACCCACTGAAGTTGCTGTACATATTATAGGCAACATGTAACTTTCAATCTAAAAGACAAATAAGCAGCTTTCTTAAACATCACTGACTCAGCAGGGAACTGGAAAGCAAATATATTATTTACTAAAGTGATGACGTTAAATAGCACTGGCGTTGTCAACCACACAGGTGTGACCTGACAAACCCAACCGACAGTGTCTTTAATCAAGATAAATGCACTAAGTTAGTGATAAAAAACAACAAAAAAAAAGTTAAATTCGTCTTCTTCAAGACTAATCAATCTACTAGTTATAGAGGTTTAATTAGACCCACAGCCTTAGTTATTTAGAACTAAATAGAAGAGCTTCCAGTGTTTAATCTGATTTTAGTCGCTGTTCTCAAGGAGAGTGCTGGTGTCAGAACACTGAACTACTGTTTGAATGCAGCTCCTCCAGTAAGACAGTGACTTACTGTTGCACTTTTGTTTCAACCCCATATAGGAGCTGTATGGTATATATACAAAAATGTCAGACATCAGGAAGTGATAATATTCTGCCACACACATACATTTTTGTTTTGTTGTGACAATATCCTCATTACATTGTACCTAATGTTAGGTAGATGTGCTCAAGGCTAGTTACATGCTTGCCAGCTGTAATTATCTTGGCAAATAAAGCACAGGTTTGAGTTGCTTACTGTGCTGTGCATTGTACATGGATATGTTTTAACCAAGAGCTCTTTTTTTAAATAACCACAATGACAAGGAAAGAAAAGGAGGAGAGGAAGAGTTCTGCATAGTCCTAACATGTAGCATCTGTAGAATATGTTGAGAGATTGACTTGTGGCCATTCATCTAACACAGTTGCCATCAGCTATGCAGATCATTACCAGACATTTCAGATGTGCACTTCACCAACGGCTTTATAAAGGTTCTTAAATTAGAACTTAGACTGATTCAGATGTTTATCCTGCTGGCAAACACAAACACCAAAGGCAGCAGCATTCCTGCGGCACTGATAGGAACATGCATGGTTGCCTTTGAATGTGTGAGGGAAGGTGGTGATGGTGGTGAGAACACATGATGACGTTTATACTGGCACATCTTTAACAGTGATAAGCAGGGAGTAAGCGAAATGTATTTGATGTGCACAAATGAACGTCAGCTTTTTCACACATGACAATAATAATATTAATGTGGGTGCAAGTTATGACCTTAACCATACTTTTATAACATGTTTGTTTAAGGATAACAACTGCTAAGACTTCAGATATATTGATTAAAGGGTCAGTTTACCAAATTTCTCACTAGTAGTATAAAGCTGATAGTTTTGGTTTTATGAGCTGAGATTTTGAAGGTATCCTCATTGAAAACTCACTGATAACCCAAATACAGTGGAGGTGAATTGTATTTTGTTTGTGTTGTGTTGGTTGGTTACTCTGGATTACCCACAGAGCTCATTTTCAGTTGATTTTTCTTAAATTTGATTTCTTTTGTAGAAAGTAGTTCCAGTTAAAATAGCTAGGGAGGTCTGTTGATTATCCAGAGTAATCAGCATATTGTCTTTTTAAATGTTTTTCACAGTTTTGAGCTCCCTTTACATTGGGGTTGAGGCAGAAATCTCAGAGATGGATCTCTGACCTCTTTATCTGGGGAAATAAAACCAAAACTATCACACAGCTACAAACTACTTAATCAAAATAAGAAACTATCTTCAAGTTATTTGGATGACTGACCTTTTAAATGCAGCATGTTTGAGATTGAACAATAACTTTCACCCATATAGTTTTATACTGTCTTTTATTACTGTCTTACCTCCGCATACAGTCCAGAGCACGGATGAAGAAATCCTTGCTGAGCTGGTGTTCATCACGTAGGAGGGCACACTGCTCTAAAGTGACAGACATAGATGTCCGGTCTTTGGCACTTTTACAGCTGGTAAACCTGATGCCATTTAACCTTCGGCAGATCTGAATGGAAAAAAAACACATACAATACATGCATCAGTAAAGCGAACTGATGTCTTTGTCAGTAAAAGACATTCATGATCCCCAGAGGATGAATTATAATATCTTTGGTGATATTCTAACTTTAAAACGTATTTTTTAACCCTAACTTTAACTTAATTTTTTCATTATTCACATCATTTCATCTAAACAGCAGCACAGAGCCACTAGCATGACTGTAGACCCGTCTTGTTTAAACAAATTCTTGCAGTGGACCAAAAGCACTGTAAGAACATGTATAACCGTTCACTGAAAGAGATTTAATTTCAGGTTAAATGTCATGTTTATAAAATATCATCTTCCGAAGTCAATCTATCATGCTCAGGCAGTTACATTTTGCTTGGCTCATTACTCCCATTGAAGCCCATGAAATATCAATATGTCAGTATTGTTAGTATTTACAGTTATCATGGTTATGCAAGACAACAGTTAGTCGGTTCAGAGACATCTGTCTTTCTTGAAAAGGACAAAAAGTTACAAAAACAACTACTGCTCACCGTTCCAGCAATCCATAGTATCTCCACATTCTTTCTCTTCTTTGTAACTACATTCTGCCCCAAGGTTTCAAGTAATTCCTTTATGTCAGTCTGTGTCTGAAAACATGGTAGACCTGTTCATAGAAAATACAAAATGCATTGCCAGTAAGTGGTTCTGTTTCCATTTCTGCTGTTGTGAAAAATGTAAGGACAGGCTGCTACTCAAGGCTAAATGCAGGTTCTGTTGGTAGCAGACTAAATGAAAACAATTTACTTCATACTTCTCGCACTTTTTTCTCACTGTTTTAAAAGACTAAATTCCAAGACCCACCTTTTAAACCATAAAGGGGCAATGTATAAATTGCCCTGATGTGGTAAACTCATAAGATCAATACATGTTACAATATATTTTTGGCTAATGCTCTTTTCTCCACATCTTTATAACTTCACATAAAGACGCTTTGCTGCAGCAGTGGGACCTGGAAAGATTTACAAAGATAAAGAGTATTTCTCTTTGGTAAAATAAATGAAAATGTGCACTTACATTCTAGTGGCACCTTTTCACTTATTGATTTGTAATAGGCTTCTAACATCTCAAAGTTCTTCTGGTTTATTCTTTCTTGTAGAGAGATATCTCCAAACCTGAGAGGATGACGGGGGGAATAAAGTCAATTATGGCAGAGCATCACCAAGACGCTAAACACTAATCTTTTTTTTAACTGTTTATCAGTGGATGTAACAATAATTCAGAGCAGTGAATGCTGCATTCAGCTGAAAAACAACGTGGTAAAACATGAAAATAGTTGCTTTGGTAGGATTTTGCTTTTTCCTTTTAGAGAAAACATTTTAAACCAATTAACCATACATAAAGCCAATATAGTTACTTATAGTAACAGTTTTCTGCCTATGAGGGAGAGTGAGTGTGAAAGAGTTTTGAATGCTTCGTGCTCAGAAGATTATTCTAATTTAATTAATGATTAATGATATAATAGATGCCCTTTGTAAGAATAAAGAATAAAGGACAAGACATGCACAACACTAGTACTTCATATTGATGACCTTAAGACCACTGGCCTAGTGGCCTAGATTTGTGCGACAGATTGGAAGTTCTTTACAGTGAACAAAGAGTATCTGCAGTACCTCTCAGCTATAGTTTGCTGTTCGTTGATGCCCACGTTAAACAGCACCGGAAAAACTCGAAGAGGCTTGCCCTCCTTGATTTCCTCTGGCAAGGTCTGGAAAACCAGTCGTGGTAATGGCACTTCTACAGCGAAGTGGTCTCTGAATGCAGGGAGAAAAAAAAAGAAAGAAATGGAAGCCAGCAGAGATAAAACGATTTAACAGAAATTCAATATGTTTTGCAATGCTTTAGAATTTGATAAGTTTGGGAAATTGTACAATTTGACACCCAAGACAGGCCTGAGCAAGCTTTTAAAAAGAGAGACTGATGGTGTTTATGCATGAGTGAAAGAGAGTGTAAGCATGTGAGACAGATAGCCTTACAGATATGCAAGGAGGGGGGAGGGGGTGGAGCCAGAGGAGTGTATCATTTTATTACACTTGGCATAATGTGTACAGCAACCAGCTCAAACAACATGGCTTGACCTTGTTGTGGCAAATGTCCTAGAAGCGAGCTATTGCTTTATTGCAGGCAGGGGGAGGGTATTTATGAACCATGTGACTTCAGCACTCCTCCCTGCCATGGCAAACTACTACAGTGGGGACCCTTGGTATACTATTACACAGCATTTTTGCCATTGTGCAGGTCACTAGGGGTTTGTTTGGTCCGAACAGTGTATACCACAAAGGACGCTAGTAGCAAGCATTGTTATAATTGTTATAATTATGGTCAGAGAGCAGATAATAAAGATAGCACAAAACAGAGCAGACATCCTACTAGATTAGTCAATCACTTCTGGTGTTTTACAGTCAGGACTGTACACTAAATATGATACACAATAAACACCTTAACACCTCTGCATTAATATTTGATCTGGAATCTCTTAAAACACTGCAGTAGAAATATTAAACTGGGCTCCTGTCTGTGTGACAGTGCAGACATGGACTAGGAGGGGTCAGAGGTCGGCAAACAGGAAATGGCGACAGCTCCGTACAGTAAACAGTAAACTGTGCAGACAATGATGAACTCTGTGACTTAACATTAACATTCATCCAGTCATCTTTAGTTACAGTTCATATAGTAAAATTAAAAGAATCAACTATTTCTATTAGCCTTAAATTCTTAACACTTTCAGGTTCCTGTAATTTCTTAATAGTTTCCCAGGATGTGTTTTATCTAGGGAAAATAGTGACAATGTTCTGACACACTATACATTGTAAGTACCCACTGATCAGAGTACTTGAGCACCAGCAGGTAACAGTTAGTATAAAGGTCTTACACTAGACTGACTTCTTGACAGGTACGTAGATTAAAAAACCCCAAAACGGGCACACTGTTAATCTCTTGAACTTACTTTATTTACAATATTTTAGTCCTCAGAGATTCTTTGGGTAAAATGTTTATGTATTCATATGTTCAGGTGGGATTTTTTCTTTTTTTCCCAGTAAGAAAGAACCAAGAAATTACACAGCAGTAGTCGTAATACAGTAGTTTGGTAGTGTTTACAAATGGAATTTCACTAAAACATGGTTACTTTTGTACAAGGTTACTTGGAATTCATTGAAAGTGTACCAAATGAACACTGTCTCCACTCCCTATTATAAGTACTAAATTGCACAGCCCATTTCCCTCAGAAATTGCAATTACATGCCATGCCCTTTTTCAAAATAAAGAATCTATAGGAGAAGTAAAATAAAATGTTAATTTCAAATATTAAAATGAAAAGATTTCAATTCAGTCAGCTTGGTATGTTGGCAACTGGCCGACAACAGACAATTATCTATACTTGGTCCTTATAATGTACTGAACAATGCTACAATAGGTTGTAGTACACAACAGCTTTGTCTTTGCCATTATCACATAAAGAGGCCCACTCAAATGCAGTGTTAAAGCAAAAAAAAGGCAAAGAGGAGATAATGTCTCACCGTCGGCCACACACTAAAGGTTGGAGGTCGCTGAAGTCATCTGTCTTGGCCTCTGTTATCTGGAACACGACTCTCTGCAGGTCTGAGATCCCAACCTCCATGTCCTCCAGCATCCCAATCTCTTCACCTTAAACGGTTTAATAAAACAAAATTATTAGTGATTGGATTCTTGCTCGCCATGCATCTTTTTATAAAAAGAGTGTGGCTCAAATTGTAAAATATCAGAGGGCTAACTGGATGATGGAACATGGATCCTAAAAATGGGTCAAGGTATTAGCCGTGTTTCAGCTGTTAATTTTGCTGACCAGTCCGTTCTTTGAGGGCTGTACCATGAGCTTTGGCAAACCAGCATTAATGAGAGCTTTAATCATGGTGGTACAGGTAACTAGAATAGGTATGCTCATATCTTACATGGCCCTTAATCCAGTGTCTAGTTAACCTACACCTGTTGTTGTGTAACACATAAAGCGATAAAAAGCCTGTAATATGCACAAAAAAAAAACACACTGCAGTGAGTCATCAGTCAGCTACATGTTGTTACAGCCTCACAATTAGTCATCACATTTACTCTTCCAGATTTACTTACTGTATGTGCTGAGAAGGCTCTCAAACTGGGCCACCAGGCCAACAAGGTGGAGCTGCCTCAGGAAGCCTTTGTCCTGCATTCCTGCGTACAGCCTCATCACGAAACCGCAGGCTAAGGCTGCCAGCTGTTAATAAACACACACACACACACACACACACACGCACACACATTTTAGCAACATCTTCTATAAGCTGTCCTCTGCAAAACCAGCTAAGCAGCCACAAATCATATGCAGCTAAAATGGGGAGCCCAGAATACACAGGTTCTAAAATAATTCAGCGGCAATACAAGGTGAGGAAACTTCTTTAGAACAATTATGGCCTATTGCTTAAAAAAAAAGCAATTTTTTTATCTAAATGCCACAAAGGGCAATTAGATAAAAAAAATGCTTTACAGTTCAGCTTGCTAAAATAAAAAAATGTCCAAGTATTTTGCTGACATCTGCATTACAAAGTGAAATTGAAGTGAAGTGTAAGTGGTTTTGTGAACATGGGGTATGTACAATCAAACAAAGGGGTAGTGAATGTAATTTTGGCAGACTTGACACAAGAGCAAAGGAGAAAACCTCCACCTGAAATAAACTAAGACAAGTAAATTACTGAGGACTTCTACAAGAGTTGTTTGTCCTTTCAGTGTGGCCACCTACTGCCTGACTGAAGACCACATCTCGCCTCTGTTGGAGGAGAAAGCCTTGTGGAATGCTACAGGCTGCCTCCTGCAGGAGCACAAAGGTCATTGCTTTCTTCGCCTTCTCCACCACCTCCATCACACACTCCTTTAACCTGGTCACTGGAGGACGCAGCTGCTCCCGCCAGTCGCCTGAAGAGAAAGATGAGATGGGAACAGAGAAGAAGAGGCACAGATGGAATGATAGTTATGATGTGGTTGCAGATAAAAATAACGCCTTAACGCCAAAGCCTTAACGCTTGTGTTCTCAGCCAGAAACAACACACATCTGTGAAGTGAAACCGGTTCAGCCATTCGTGTTTCCTGAAAATGGGGAGGAATTACAGTAAATGGTCAGCTAATAAGAGACTCACATACAAAAACATGACAAATAAATATTTGTGTGAACATGAAATAAAACTGATATATACAGTACGGCACAATATTTATTTTCTTGTTAAGCACAGCAAATGATGGTAAATAATTGGCACTATTGGGCAACACATTGAACCCTGTTTAAATATATGTTGGCTCATAAATGTGGCACAGTGCAAAGTATAAAGGGCTGGGTGAAGTAGAAACATAGAATTGGAAGGTGTGGCTATGAGAATAAAAATAATAAATTATAAGAATAAATACATTCTAAACCAGTCACATCACTGGTCTTACAGGTCTGAAACAGCTGTGCCAATCAGTGAAGTTTGATAACAATAACTCTACGCTCCTTCAGGAAATCATATTGTTGTCTAGATAGTGGCACGATGTGAACACACAGCACCACGAATCTGCAGCCAAAGGCAGATGGTGTGGGCTTTTCAACAGTTAATTAGTACAGTGACGAAGTAAATAAATAAATAATGAAAACAAGTACTTCGTTGAAGCTGTTTATATGATCAATCCTTTCAGTCATAATTCTTCACTAAATTACATCTTAAATGATCACATTATTTATGTGACACACCAGCATTTGCACCATAATACGTTTTAGTAAAGAAACATCAAACAACATTTGTTAAAATAAAGTTGGAAAAGAGCCTTAGTAATCTGACGTATTCCATATAACATATCGAGATAGAGTGATGTGTGTACAGGTGTGTGTGGTTGTTTTGTAGCAGCCTGGTGTCGTAATTTAATGAAGGTAAACGCAGTGAACAGCTGTGTGTAATGACACTACGCTCTCTTGTACCACTTGTCAAATCAAAGGCTGCAGATTTATCAACCTATCTGTCCTGCTGCTTCAGACAGCTGCAGGGGTTTAATGAACTGAAGGAGAAGGTTTTTGTTCAGTATCACACGGCTGTGGATAACATATACTGTTAGAATCACACATTAATTCATAGATCAGTTCAGACTGCTTTAATGATGTTGCTGCTTTAAAAAAAATAAACATAATTCTGATTTAAACACATCTACTGTACTGTTTGGACAGTGTGAATTAAAACAGTCTGTTGCCATTTTTATACTGTACATTTGACCCGAATGTTTAGTTTGCCAAAAAAGTCACCAAATTGGCAGTGTAATGACTTTTCATTAGGAACAGATCTGAGATATCTTTTGTCCATCTCGCTTTACACTGCCTCGTTTGAATGAACCTCCCACCTGTGCACCATGCGTTCTCTGTCAGGAAATTACTGCTTGTAAGAAGGCCCCTAAAATGTACTGCCAAATCTCACACTGTACTAAAGCTCATTAAAGACATTATGTAATTGCCTCTTTACTTTCTTAATGCACTGTAATTTCTGTTGAAAAAGGATGTTGGAGTGGAACATAACACAGAAAAAGATAACTCTAAAGTGAAAGCCCATGGCTCCATTTGAAAGTGAGCCAATTATTAGGTTGTGGCAAGATTGGAGAAACTATTTATACAACTTATTCAACTTCTCTCGTCACTTGATGACTAGTTTTTCATGCACACAGTTGCAACATGTGGAGTTTATGTGTTACAACTGACTTAGGTTGATGGGAAGCTTACTGGTTTTTATAAATTATTGATCATTATCACATCCTATTTGTATATTTTTACACTTAAAGGGCCAGTGGGTAACATTTAGGAAGATCTATTGGCATGTTTTTATTAAAGCATTTGAATAGAGGAATTGTTATGTTAGTTCACTGGCTCTAGATAGGAATTTGCATTTGTTAATGTGTTTTGTGGCCACTGTAGTTTCTACTTCACGCTTGGAAGGGGAGGCTGAAGGCGTGAAGACGTGGGAGTTGCCATCTGCAATTACACTACTAAATGCACCTATATCTACACACTGGACCTTAAACACAAATACATGTAAAATTACCACAAGTAATTCAGTTACTTGGACTTAATTAGTTGAGCTTTCCATGTACAACCTGCAGAAATACCCCCTAGAGTAGGGAACCACTGACAATGTACTGTATACTAATTGTCATAATACACTGATTTATTTGCTATTTGAAAAAAAAAGACACTTTTGCTGCCGTGATTTCCTTTGTGTATTCCATTGTTAGACAATACTGTATACCCACAGCATAATCAGAGATGAAACAGATGCAGTATGCATACTTACTTTCTTGAGTATACTTGGTTTTGTCACACTAGATACTAAAACCCTGCTTAGAAACAGTAGGCTATGTATGGATGTATGACACAGCTCTAGTGGTATTTCATGGAGTCTTACATGCATTTCCTCCATCAAAAACAAGTTTATGATCTCCTCACTAGCCAACAGGGGGCAGTGTTGGTTAAGTAATGTACAAAATGAGTTTTATTAACCATGCATTTTGTTTAGCTTTATCATATTATTATTTATTTAAAAAAGTTCTTTCGGGGAAGTGAGGATCAGAATGAACAGACACACACACAAACACCCACACACAAGCACGTTTGGATACGGCCAATAATGTATAGCACATCAGCCTTGCCCTTGCCCTGTCAGAGAAATCATGTCTTATCTCATTCTGCAAATACCGCCTCTGCACAGAGGAGGAGGAAACAGAACTCCAGCTGTCATCTCTTCGCTAGCCCACCTGTCCAAACATCCAAACCCCACAACGCCTTGTCATCCAGAGCCTGGGCTCCACCGATCTCCGTTAGGAGATAAAGCCGCTCTCATTATTCCGTCCATGTTTGTATTTAGACAGGCAGATGACCACTTGCTCTGAGCCTGTTCAGCGTCTTAATAAAGGTGCTCGGGGGGGTTGAGCTTATCTTTCAGACTGAACACTGGGCGGATGGCCTTGTTCTTACCTGCCAGCTCACTTGGACAGACAGACACACACAGACACACATGTACATGTAGGCACAAAATGATACAAATGCACCACCGCTTGCACAGATGCCTGAATGTTTGCCTGTAACAAACATACACACACATACACA